TGGGCCTGGATCAGGAATCGATGCAAGAATCTCAGCTGATACATAGCTTGATCTCCCGGCCTGTCTAATTCAGCACATAACTCAATGATTGCAATTTTGTAGCAGTTTAGCCAAAGGTGCGTCTGCAATTAATTGAGAGTCATTAATTCTCACCTGTGCTTGCATTTGAATGGTTGATTCAGCTCATGCGGTTGCAGCTTCAGCTGACTGAACAAAAGCAGATATCGGCTCCTCTCCAGCATTCAGTTTCTGCTCACAAATCAAAGCAAAAGCTCATTACTACTTTTTAACAAATATTGGTTATAAGTAACCTATTGATCAGTTACCTCCTCAAGGACTTTCGAAGCTGGGATGAGCGCATCTAACATCGTTCTATAACCAGCACTTGCTCCACCATATTTACTGACTGCAGAGATTGATGACTCGAGTGTTTCAGACCCTGATTCAAGAGGAAAATCAAATTCACAGGCCAATATGTGGATTTTGGAGTGTTAACTAATGACAATGCAAGAAACGGTATCTTACAGTGTTTGGGAATGATTTCTGACCGACCGTTAGCTTTCAACTCCGCGTATGCTGCTTTGCAGAGGAGACTGTAACTGTTTTCGTCTTTATATCAGTAGATGCCAAATGCATGATCATATGCAGAGAGAGAAACTTGTCAAATATATATTGATTTACATTATTCCGCTTGTTCCCCCCATGACTCTTCTGATTGATGAACCAATCTCACTCACTGTTTCGGCAACATCATTGAGCGGATAACTAGAAAAGAGAGAAACAAACGGTTCAAATTGTAAGCAGACAATCAAGCCAAACAGCGAAGAAGAAGAGTAAAGTGACTCACTAATTCCTCATGTCCTCCAGAATAGCTGTTGCGCCTCTGCACATCTATGCACTGGATGGCCAAGTTAGTTGGCATAAGATTTATGACATACACAAAGTAACAATTTCCTCTTTTATTCAATATAGACAAGCAAACACCTCTTCGTTTGCTAAAAGCTGAGTCCGATTCGAATACATATGCTCTGAATCAGTGCAGTTGTAAGTTGAGTAAGAGAAGCCTCTGCAACACAAAACCAAAGTTATTTCTTCTCGTCCCCAAGTAAAGTCAGACTAATTTCTGTAAGTAAGAAAACCATAAATTCACCTCAGCACGCCATATGAGAGATTCTGCTGTACTGGATATCTTAGAGCATAGTCCTGTTCTTTCTAGTATTATTGTTGCTAGATTTATCTTTTGGTAATCTAGTTCGTCTGCGTGCGTCCTCCACTGAAGTCATAAATGCCCTGACTGAACATCAGACAGATATTAGCTTTTTCTAACATGAAGAGGAAAAGTTCATGCGCATATCATTTACCTGTTGAAGAGAATCAGAAACCTCAGGGTATGAAATATTTGATAGCCTAAGCCTGAACCAAGGTCCTGAACGAACAGGTATTCAGACATATCACAAACTGACAAAAGTATCAAAATGAAAACTGAAACTTCAATTAATCAAAGAAAGCGTGTTCCCAGGACAACTACGATTTCAAAGAATCCTACTCCGATCCATCGATGGGATCTTCCTGGTCTTCCTAATGCCACTGAACTCTGGATCAAGGTCTCACACATATTCTCTTCTGATTTCGCTGCTTACTGTTTCAACAATTTTACCGGAATGGAATTGAGTGGAAACAAAGTACGAAAACTCGAATTCCTATTGGCTGAAGCCGTCGATCAACAAGCCGACACTGTTATCACCATCAGCGGAGCAATCACTGCCGTGCCACAGCCGTCGCAGCTAACTATCTCAATCTCAATTCTCATCTCATTTTTCGCACCTCCAAGGTCTCGCTTCTTCGAATTTCGCCTTTTGCATCAGTATAAAATCTCCGTTTTCACACGCCCTTTGGTGTTTATATGAGTAGCTTCTTGCCGAGAAAGATCCTGGGTTGGTTGGGAATCTACTGGTTGAGCGTTTCGTTGGAGCTAATGTTCATCTCATCTCTAAGGAAGAGTGTTTCGCCATTGGGAGTGAGGTGTAGTTCATTTGCATCTCTTTCGATTACTAAAGAACAAAAAACACGAAAGTTTGTAGTTTTACTTGGCATGAGTTATTGATAATGATGGTATTAATAGGAACTGGTCAAGGAAGGAAGAAAGCCTTATGTTTATTCTTGTTGGTGGATCCAACTCTTTGGGAACTTGGTGAGATTGTGTTCTCATTAGTTATATGCATAAGTGTCATTACTCAATTGCTTGACGAGGGCAGGATTTTGCTCTTTTTAATGCTGAATTCCCCACACTAATCGTCTAGGGGTTATATCGAAGCAGCTACAAAGTAGAAATGATGGCCTCAAATTTGATGAAATTTTGGTAGCATGTGGCAG